CCAGGCCTGAGGGTCAGATGCCTATTATAAATATTAGGGATGCCTCATTGAACATTCTTTATTGCTATCAAAATCTACTTTCCTTTGGCAAAAGGCAGACATTTACTTCTCTGTATTTCTGTGTAAAAAGTTAACCACTTATTTCAAGGAAAAATGCTGCTTAGGCATATTTGACCTTAGTATTGGGCAATCCCTTTCCTATTTTTGCAATTAGCTTAATAGAAGATGGAAGAAGAGGAGAAAACAAAATCAATCATTACTTTCTTTTAACCAACAATAAATGACAAAAGCATAGGGTTGCATATAAAACTAGTTAGAATCATTCTTTTGTGTTGTGTTGCTTGACAGTTTGGGGAGAGTAGATTTTTCTTTTTGTTTTAGTTTGTGGGTTTGCTTAGATTTATCCATTTTTGTTAAAATAAAATTTCTCAATAAAGGAAATAAATCAATCCCCTTTTTAAGTAGCTCCCATTATTCTTGCCCCCATAATTTCTCTTAACCTCCTACTGTAGAGACATTGGTTTCATCTGTGGTTATCTAATGGATAATCTTTCCATCCTCAGCTTTCCCCAAGAGCTGTTAGGAAGTGAGATAGTATAGCTTGTTCTCTGAAATATGGTTTTATGAATTAATAACTGTTCCTTCAGCTAGATGAGAATTCTGCTATATACCTGACATCCCCTGTATTAAATAAGAGTGATGTTAAACTGGTATGGGAGTTATAATTATTCTCTGTTGATTGCAATATAGTTCTTATCTTTAGTAATCAATTAGTCAATCAACACACATTTATTAAGCCCTACTATGTGCCAGGCAACATATTAGGTACTGGGAATATAGGTAGAAAAATGAGACTGTCCCTGCCCTTCAGGAGCTTACATTCTATTAGGGGTACCTTAGTTTGTTCAGGGATGAGTACTAAATATAAGAAATATGTAAAATAAATATATAATGACTGGGTGGGGGGAATACTAGCAACAGGAATTAACAACCGTGGTGGTTGCCTCAGTGTCTATCACAACCCTGTTGTTGTTAACATCCCTTTTTTATTGAAAGACAATGCCAGATCAACCTGATACGTTTGTTAAAGGCCTTTCCCAACTGGTTTCTCATAGATTTAGAACTGGAAGGGCTTTTAGTCCAAACCCTTCATTTTAGAGATGAGAAAAATGAGGCTGAGATACTAAATGTTCAGAGTCATACAGTTGGCAGATCCTCTGATTCCAAATCCAGAATGACTTTCCATAGTACCCTGATACCTCTAAAGTGAAGTGTATGTCACAGCATAGTTGAAAGAACACTGGTCTGTGTGTCAGGAGACTCAGGTTCTGATCCTACCTGTTCCTCATGGTTGACCTTATGCAAATTTCTTAACCTCTTGACTTCAATTTTTTCATCTGTTAAAATAAGTGGTTAGACTGGAAGACTTCCATAGTCTCTTCCAGGTAGAAATATATGATCTTATGATCTCAAAGGTCCTTTACAAGTTCAGAATTCCCAAATTCCTTTGAACCTCTATGGGTCTTTCCATCATTTTTTGGTGCTCCTTGTACCCAATTACCTTTCTTGAGTTTAATACACAGAAAAAAATGCTACTGTAGGATCATAGGAGATAAGATGGGACAATTAGTTCCTGGTCACCATGCTTCTCTCAGTGCATTAGTTTTCTTGGCTGCCATATAACATTTTTGGCCCATTGAGATTTTAGTGGTCAAAAATCTCCAGATCTCTTTTTTTTTCCCCAGAGGAACTAACTTCACCTTTACCATCTTTCACATGTGAAGCTGACTCTTTGAACCTAAGGGTAATCCAGTGATGGAGGCAAAAGAGAGATCTAGAGAAAGGGCTCTGGGAATATTTGACAAAAGGCTGTAGGGGGATGAAAAAAGTCTTCATGAGAAAGGTAGTGCCATAGCTGAACCTTAGAGGAACATGAGGATTCTGAAGGCAGAGTAGGAAAGTGAGTCAATTTTAGTTATAGGATAGTGTGTAGGAATGCCTAGAAGCAAGTGGTAGCATGTCATGTTAAGGCAACAGCTTCCTTGACTGAAATGTACGGAGGCTTGCATGAAAGGGAATAAAATGAAATGAGTCAGGAGAGGTAGATTGGAGCTAGATTGTAGAAGATTTTAAAAGCTATGCTAAGAAGATTGGATGATTCTAAGATGTCATGCCTGGCTATCTGGGAAGATGGTGGTACCATTGACAAAAACGGGAAAGTTAGGCAGAGGGACTGGTTTAGGAGAAAAGATGATAAAAAGTTCTAGGCTTGTGGAGTTGAGGTGCCAGAAAGACATCTTGGTGGTTATATAGACGCAGTTATGTGGTACAGAGCATAGAGTCATAGACCTGGAGTCAGGAAGATGAGTTCAAATGTTTTCTCAGACACTTACTAGCTGTGTGATCCTGGGCAAGTCACTCAATCTCTGTCTACTGCAATTTCCTCATTTGTAAAATTGAGAAAATAATAGTACCTACTTCCCAGAGTGGTTTTGAGGATTAAATGAGATAATATTCATAACGTACTTTGCAAGCCTTAAAGTACTATACAAATATTATATATACATCAAGCAGTTGGAAATGGAGAACTAGGAGCTCATGGGAGAGATGATAGCTGGATACAGAAATTTGGGAATCATCTCTATAGAAGTGATAATTGAACTCATAGGGAGCAAGTGTGTGGAGAGAATGATAATAATAATAATAACAAACATTTACATGTCACTTAACTATGTCCCAGGAATTGTGCTAAGCACTTTACAATTATTATCTCATTGGATATCTCATCACAACAATCTTGGGAGGTAGGTGCTATTATTATCCCCATTTTGGGTTAAATGGCTTGCTTATGGTCACACATCTAGTAAGTGTCTGAGGCTGGATTTGAACTCAAGTCTTTCTGCCATCAGGCACTGGGCTGCAGCCACCTAGAAAAGAGAATAGGGGCTGGAACAGAATTTGGGGGGATGCCCATGCATAGGAGCAGAGCAAAGTCTGAAAATCAGTCCAAAAGATTGGAGAACCAGGAGATTCTGTGGTGTCAGAGAAGCCAAGAGAAGAGAGAATAGATGAATGCTAAATTTATCTTTTTTGTTATAGTGTTTAGCTACTATATTAGTGTGATTTAATTCAATTCAACCACCACTTACTAAATATCTCTTATATTTCCCCTTTTTTGGAGGAATGAAAATAAAATGTTGAATCCCTAGATATCTCTGGTAACAGGTCCAGGCTGATTGTGAAATTAATCAACAGGTCCATTAGACTCAGATGGATTGTTCATCTTCAGAAAACAAAGGACCAGCAAACAACCACCTCCTATGTACTATGTACTAGGCACAGTTCAGTAGAAAGATATGGCATATATGTGTGTGTATGTATGTATGTATATGTACACCTATATACCAATAAGCACAATGCAAAATTGAGACAGTAGGTACAAAGAGCTAAAATTAATTACTATTTGAAAAGATCAGCAAATGCTTTATGGAAGGAGTAGCATTTGAGTTAGACTTAAAAGGATGGTTAGGAATTGAATGAGCAAAAGAGTGGAAACATTTAAAGCATATGGAACAATGTGAACAGAGGTACAAACACTGGAAAGAATGGGTCTGGCCTGGAGTCTGGAGACAGCTGCTTTTGTTCGTCCTTTGTTCTCAAAGAGGGAGCAGGTTAGGGAAGAGATGTTGTATGAGATAAAGCAGGCAAGGTAAAGTGGCTCCAGATTGTGGAGGACCTTGAATGCCAGATGAAATAGTGTGAACTTTTACCGGGTGGGCAGGGGCTATTGAAAGGTTTTGAGCAGAGCAGTGGCCAGATTTATGCATTACAATGATTAGTCTGGTATGCAGTAGCTACTAGTCTGATAAACCACTAGTGGTTGTGTGAAGAATAAGTTGGAGGGGAGGGGGCAGATGGGTTGTGAAAGGGGTGGGGAATAGAATTAGGAAAAACCTGTATGATAGATGCCCTCCTGAAATTAAAAAAAAATAATAATATGGAGGTGGGTGGCTGGGAAATAGATACTCCATAAAATTAGTGAAGCTTCTGTAAAGTACTCAACGGTCTTTAGATTTTTCAGCTCATAAAGGACACAGAGGAAGACTGTGTTCTGTACAGTCCCCAGGCAACTATGATATCAGGCTTTGTTCAGAACTACGAATGGATTAGAATCAGTTTAATTAGGTACGAGCAAAGGAAAGCACAGGTAGTGCACCGTCCCTTAGGCTATTTCCAAAAATTAAGGGCAGGGGGAGGGAGGCAAGAGGTTGTGTATTTTAATAAAGGAGGTGCGAGGTTGGGCTAGGGTAAGTCCTGATAAGCAGAGGTGAAGGTCTCAGACTTAGGCTGCTCTTGGTGAGTGAACCAGGTGCCCTTCAAATCGGAGGGGATAGGGAGGAGGGAGGGCCTGGCTCTTTAGGGGTATTAGGGTGCAGCCTCCCGGGCTGAGAGCAAAAGGCAGCAGGGGTGCCTGCACCCTGCACTGGCGCGATGCTAGTTTCGTGTTAGGGGACTCAGGAAAGGGGCCGGACAGCACTTCTGTAAGGGAGCCTGGATCTCCTGCAGATGAGCCGGCTGGCCAGGACAGTGTAAGGCTATTGAACCCAACCTAGTGCTTTGGTCCTGGCCCGGCGGGAGGGGCAACGGCGTTCTCAGAACAGCCAGGAGAAAAGCGCCCCTGGTTCGGGATGCCGGAGGGCCGGGCCTGCTCTCCTCGGTCCCGAATCCTTTATTATCATTGGTTCTACTGTCTGTCTTTCACTCCCGGCATCCCATCTTTATTAGCTGTCCCGACCGCCACTCATTCTCGCCGCGCTGGCTCTCATTGGCCTCCTTGTCACGAAGGCTCCGCCCCACGAGCTGAGCCCCGGCCGAGGGGCGCTGAAAGGAGAGCGGGGCACGGAGCAGAGCAGAGCCCAGCAGCAGTCTTTGGGCTTGCGGGTGGGCGGGCGGGTGGCAGCGGTGGTGACCGAGGAGGAGGAAGAAAAGGAGAGGAAAGGAGAGGCAGCGCGGCCCAGCCGGAGTGATGGTGCAGGGGGCCGGCGCCACGCTGCCCCATTGAGGGGCGCGTGCTCTGGTCCGGGGTCCGCAGCGCCGCCGCCGCCGCCGCCGCCGCTGCCGCGTCGCTCCCGGGGGCGGGCTGGCTGGCGGACGGGCGGGAAGATGCTGAGCAGGTTGATGAGCGGCAGCAGCAGGAACCTGGAGCGCGAGTACAGCTGCACCGTGCGGCTCCTGGACGACAGCGAGTACACCTGCACCATCCAGGTCAGCAGCCTCCGCTCCCTCGCCCACCCACCCACCCACCGCGGGCGCCGCCGTCGGCTCTCCGTCACCCTCCCCCCTGCAGCAGAGGCAGCAGCTCCGGGGTAACTTGGCTCGGGGCCGCTTGCTTCTCGTCGCCTCCCCGGGCTTTGTCCGCGGACCAGCTGCGGCTCAGCTAGGGGGGCTTTCACGGAGGGGAGGGGGAGCCTCTTCCAAACCACTCCTTCCTGGGAGCGGGACGCGATGCCCCATTTCTTTCTCTTCTCCCCACTTTTGTCTCCTTAGGCTCTTCTGGATTGGGGGGGGTGATGCCCAAGTGTGCTGCAGACTCAGGTGCAGGCTCTTGTCCCAAGGACCCTTCCCAACCCCCTACCAGTCCCTCCTCCCCTTTTGGGTGCTGGAGAAACCCTCCCTTATCTGGGCGCACAAAAAGCCTGCCCGGAGAGGGAGCTGTCCCCGGGGCAGGGTACCCCTACTGAACGCACTCATGGGGACAGGTCGCTAGGTGTTTGGCCCGGCCGCCCCGTCGGAGCTGGGGGTTTTTAAGTCCATGGACACAGGCAGCAGATACTCAATCTCGGGTTAGCCGGCCGAGCTGCTGCGCCTGCTGCTGGGATGGGACTCGGGAAGGACAGAAGGACTTGGCGGGGAGGGGGGAGCCCTGTGCCGGAGCTGGCCGGCTTTTCTTTCTATATTTTTCTTTGGTGGGAAGAATAATGGTATATGTTAGATGTTTCAGCGTTTTGTGAGTCAGACTCGGAATGTAGGATGGAGCACAACAGCCCGTGCAGAGTGGCCTATTGAACAGAGAAAGCGACTCCTTTCAGACAGCCCCCCACCCAATAACCCTACACAGACGTACACGCACACACATAGACCACCGCCATTCACTTTTAAAACGATGTTGTGTTTAGCAGGTGTATGTATGTGGGTTTGGAGGTGGGGCGAAAGGAGGAGGTTGTAGATTTAGTACAAGTGTCAGCTATTGGGGGGGGCGCATGGTAGAGAAATCAGTGACTTAAAAAACAACAGCGCTGCACGGAATGAAAAGAATCCCTTCAGCGCCTGGTATATTACGATCCCGTGCTCTTCTGTTCCCTCCCTACTGCTGTGTGGTACGTCAGGAGTAGTAGTCGTTCCCAGGAATGCAGTAACAACCCTTTCTCCTCCTTTAGCCAGGGATGAAAAACACTGAAAAACCCTCAGTGTTTAATTCATTAGGAATTCGCAGCTGGAAACTGCCTTTTTCTTCCCCCTCCCCAGAAACAAATATCTCAGAAATTAGTGAAGTCTTACCTGATTCCTCCAGCCCTAGTTGAAAGACCAAAAGCTCTGGGTTCTAAGATGTGGCAGACGGAAACTGTTGGCACCAACCCCAGTGGCTCTGGCCCTTCTCACACCCTCCCCTTCTGTATTGGGATGTAGCAGTGTGTGAAGGAGGAAGGCGGTTATGATAGCTGCTGCTCTTTGCTGCCTTGGTTCTGGGTTCAGAGTTCTCATCTCTAATCTGTCTTTTTCCCCTTCCTCTTGTTGTCAGCCTGTTAGGTACTACCGAAGGTGCGTGAGGTTAGAGGAAAGAGTAGAAAATCTATTTTTAAAGACACTGAAGCACAGACTGAGCAGAATTTGTGATTAGGCTAGCCATCAAGTGAAAGCCCTACTGTATTTGATGGTGATCATTTAAGATGCTGTATATTATTCCCTTTCAGAGCAATGAGTTACCTTACCTGTATTATATTTTCATGTCTCATAGGCTGGATTTAAAAAAATAATTTTTAACACTTTGTAGAAGGAAAAAATGTGATTTATGCACCTATACCATTTGGACATATGAAGTAGCTGATTATGTGCCACTGTACTACATGTTTTAAAGTATGCATATTTTTGTTAGTTTTAAAGTTTAAAGCTTTTTGCAAAATTTGGATGGCTCTGGGCAGCTCTTGGAGGAGCCCCAATATACTGTTGAGATATGGTTTGAGGGTGGATTTCTGAGACAAGTCATTGTCACAATTTTTTCAGAGTAAAAGATTTGGAACTATTAATAGTTTTTTAGTTTTCAATTAAATAAATTGAAGAACTAGTGACATCACCAATCTGATAGAAATGTTTGGCTACCAAGAATTTTTAATGAATCAAGATAAGTCACTTGATTATTTTCTTTAATAGCTAGAACAATGTCAAGGGTCAGTGATTGGTTGACTTCATGTTATAGGTGTTGGTAGTTTCTATGATCTACTTTGAGAAAGGAAATACAGATATTTAACTTTTAAGAATGCTGCTTATGATTAACTGCTGAGTGCATGCTTGAAACACCATCTTAGACTAGTTGTATGCTCTGTTGGTCTTAACTGAAACTAGTTTAACTTGCCATTGAAAATCCAGGTCTTGGAAAAAAAAAAGGAACATGGTATCACACAAAAATTTTTCGATTCTAGCATCATTTTTATTTACTTTTGTGACATATGACAATTAGAGGGGAAATAGCAAAATAGCAGATCATATGAAAGGAATATATTCTATGAACATGACTTGAGTGTTTGAGAATTATTTTTCCTTAGCAACTCTTTTCTTTGCTAAAATGTGATTTAATTTTTAATAGTATTTGGAAGCAATATGAAAAGGAATAGTGAAACATTTGTTGTTGTGTAAGATTAGTCATTCTCATCATATTTGGAATTGCAATTCTTTGATTTCGCAACATTGCATTTCATTTCCTAAAAGTCCCATATAATTCTTGATATCTTCTTTAAAAACAGATATGAATATATATACAGGTAAGTATGTCTACATATAATACATATAAACTCTTGATATATGACTGTTGATATGTATACACATTTACATGTGTGTGAATATAAACTTCTCCAGGAAGTAAGAGCAATATATCTATGAATGTATATGGTCTATATCTATAGAGGGAGTGATCTTTACACATCTACCTGGCATATTTTTGGGAATATGACATTTAACACAAAATATTATTGTAATCTTTTATATTGCTGTAGTTATACTGGACTAGTTACCTTAATCTGCCAATCTGTGAAACATTATAAAATTAATACAGACATCTTTATGTCCCCTAAATAAAGGTTGCTACAGTTACCATTTTTTATAGGCATTATTTCATGACTTCTAATATGCAAATATATTTATAATCTATGAGAAAGGAAAGTATACATTGTAGGACTGTAGTATAATTATTCTACTGTGAAGAACATTGTTAATAGCTAGGGAATGCTGACTTGAGTTTTGAAGGTCATTGCCTCATAAATGCAGATGTAGTCCATATTTTTCACTGATCTGTTTTATTTGTGCAAGTTTATATTTACACACTATGTTTGCAACCTTGCCTTGCTATTTTATTGGGAGGAAAATAAGGTTTATTAAACAACTGTACATTCCTTTGATTTTAATGAACTGAATAGAGACATTAAATGCAGTGCTTGGACATAATAATGTGCTGAAAAGTAGATTCTTAGCTATCTTTAAGAGCAGACTAGTTGATTATAAAATGCTAGGGAGGTATATTAGAACATTTACAGTAGGGATGTAATTTAAGCAATCTATTGGTCTGTCACTTCAAGTGTGAAATATTTCTTCTTGTTTTAATGAAAACTCAAACTCACCTAGGAACTAACTCAATTTTTTTTTATCAGAAACACATATTAAATAACATTTTATACATTTAATTATTAATTTAGCACCTGAGAAAAATTAGCCTTTGTCATAACTTGTGAAGGAACAATTATTAATAGATACCGTACTCTTTACAGTTATTTAATGCGTATTTCCCCAAGTAATTAAAAAGACAAATTTATGAAATAGTCTATTCTTCTTGGGAGAATATATCGGCTGGTCTTAGGTCTGCTTTAAGCTATTTATGAGATTTAATTTTAATTTTGAAGAGCAGATCTGGTTGACTCAAATTAAGGGTTTTCCCAATCCAAGATTTTTAGTTTGCTTTTCTTGTCCTCCTTAAGCCTTAATCATTATCCCTGATGTGATATGTCTTTCCTAAGAATTTCCCTCTTATATTTGATTGTAAATAGGATTTTGATTTCATTAAGCAAAAGGAATGTTAGGTTAATTTTATTCACAAAAAAACCACAGAGGTTGTATTTTAATGAATATTGATTTTTTTAAAAAAAGCTTTTGTCTTAAGAGCAATTAAGCTATCTTAGAAGCTCTGTTAAAAATAGCAGTCACTTAGAATACATATCCTTTTAAGAAACTAAATTTTTTTGGAATGTCTTAATTTTGGGGTCAGTTCTGTAACTTGTACATTAAACAAATTACATTATAAATGAAAACAAATCATTCTCTTCATATGTAAGGTAAATTCTGGAGTACAGTACTATGTTGTTGCTTTTAAAAATATTCTTCATTTATGCATCAGGGACAGGAAGCTATAGAAAATATGTAAGTCTTTTGTTTGCAAAGGCATTTTTATACATTTGTGCTTTAATAGATCTTTAGGACTAATTTACTAAGTAAATAATACAATTGTGGACAGAATGTGATATGAGAAAGCATATACCTTTGCTCTTGTTTTATGTTAGTAAACACATATGTTTGCCAGTATCTGATATACTATCAGTGATATAACAGATTTGTTTGAAAACACATTTGAATATTTGAAGAATCTGTAATTTGATTGTAGATTCTCTTTCTACTAGAGCACATCAGCATATCCCTTTTGTAACTTTGAGATCTTTGAGAGTTGCCGCAGTTGAAAAATTCATTACCCTATTGTGCTCAACTTGGTGATAGAACTACTCTAAACTTGGCTAAGTTGGCACTCAGTTTTAAATTTTCTTGTTCCTCAACATAGTAAACCACCTTCAAAAACAGGACAGGAATGCTGGTGCCTTGACCACAGTCAATTCAATAATGACTTCCCTGCCATTATAAACAGACCCTTCCTAACATCTGTGCCTTATAACCTCTTTGGGCCTGTAAAATGAAGGGGTTCAAGTGGCTTGCTAGCTTTAAATATATAATCT